AGCAAGACTGAGCTAACTATATTAAAAATCACACTCAAACTGTATTCAAAACATTGCCACTGACTGTGACGCCATTGAACAATAATCTACAACGCTTTGACTTATATCATTACCTGAAATCCCAGTTGTCAGTTGAAATATATGATATATTTTTAGCTAAAAAAATTCAAAAACGTGATTTAAGAGCCTTATAAACATTCCATGACTGATATCCAAAATTACAAAAAACAGACAATTATAGAACTAAACAAGGATGTTTGGTTTCCCTCACCAAATGTTATAATTTTAAAGGATACTTCAGTCTTACTGTAGGTGGCTTCATGATTTTGAACATTTGAGGTTGTCAGTACCGAAATACAACTACCTGGCATGGACACACCAAGACAGCTTTGAATCCAGCTATAGTTAAAACTTCTCTTGAACGTGACTGACACACATCAACTGACCAGAGTGTGCAGAGTGTAGTCAGGAGCCATAGATGAGCCCTGTTTAAATTTCAGATCAGGAAACCATGTAATACTAAGTATTTAGCATAATAAACACTGAAATATTTAGGTCTCAGTTATTGAGAATGTTGGATGATGTGAAGATGCTTTTTTGGTTCAACTTCTAAAAAAGACTTTCCTTTCACCGATGCTCAATTTTGGGTGATAGTGCTGCTTCTTTTGAATTCAACAGTGTGCTTTATGTTTATGGATCCTGTGCTTGTATCATGAGCTCTATGTTTATGGATCCTTCTGGTTTTGGGATTGTGGTCAAATGTTTTGGAAATCTGTAGGAAGCATGTTAAGATTTTTATTTTTAGTAGAAAGAAATATGCAGAGTAGACCTAACCTTCCTTTTGGAAATGACTGGTTTTACCTTAGCTCAGGTTGCAGTGTGGTTTCCTTCAGCAGTCATATTCAGGGATTCAAATTCCATCAAGACCTGATCTTCTTTCTGTCAAAGAATTGGATATATTGAAATGTAATTTTCTTGATTTAATCCTAGGCTCAGGGCAAAAACAT